TGTCATAAAGTCAACGAGTAACATTAGCGTTATCTTTAATGGCTTCCGTTTGTATTCGTAATATCAAGTTTTATTCTCTCTCTGGTAAGGATGAATTTCTTTCCGCGTATTAAAATTTGGGCCTCTTAATATTTAAATGGAAAGAACTATAAATATTAATTTATAATTAATTATTTATTACTTCATACCCAATTAGTTTCAAAGAATGGCAGTCAAAGAATTTAGGTGACATTTGTCGAGCCTGACCTAATAATACTGTATTTGGTCAAATATGTACATATTAAATAAGGAGTAAAATTACGTTTGAATGTTAATCAAGCGGTTAATAATACCATCGCAATTATATCATTAAAAATCACGACATGAAAGAAACTTGCAAAAGTTTCATTGACCATAAAGACTGCGGGTGACAATGAAATGCGTTCAAAATTACTTTCGCGCACACCCTACTTGATTTAATTAACTTAATAGTACAGGTTTAAGTTTAAACTTATTAACATTGAACCTATGAACCGGGTCTTTGTTATTTCCAATAAGCTGTAATGATTCATCAAATCAGTTTACGATTGTGAAACAAAAGATGTTAGTATTGATAAAAATATTTTCTTTTTAGAATTTTCCATCAATACCTCTCTCTATTTGCATCTTACCTTACAAAAATATCACATTCGTGTACAATTTTGTTGAAATTTTTAAAATTAAAAATGGAGGTAGTTAATACTCACGTCTTTCTCCCTTGGCTTGTTGCACCAGTAGCCTCCACACCTGATGCAGTCGTCACAATTCATCACCGTTTCGAGGTTAACATTGAAGCAGTCGATCGCGAAAACTTGCTGTAACGAACACGCCACCAAAACAAAATAAAACACATATCCAGCCATCTTAATTTTTTTTAAACAAAAGAAATTGAATACACTGCACTTTTTTATTAAGTCTAAACGGCCAGTGCTTATTTCTTTTTAAAATAAACAAAACTTTTTTACGCGGTCAATTTGAAATTCAAACACGACTCGGAGCGTTCCAAATATGAAAAAAACGCGCGCGCCGCGAGACGTCTCGCCACAGACTGTAGACGAACGCGACCTCTCTACATCAAGAAATAGTTGCGAGGAGATGAATCATCGCGGATCGAGGAAATTCGCGGAAATCGCATTTGATGGTGTGCGTGTATATTAAAAAAGTTATTAGAAATAATTATGTAACTTGTTTGATTCCTCTATTATGATAAATTACCTAGGTACTCAAGTATAGATCAGGTATAGTTAGTGGATTATTTATTTATGGTTCAATTAATTCTAGTTACGTTCTGCTTTTGCTACATTAAGTAGGCACCTACATACTACCTTATTTCAGGTTGTTTCACGTAAGAGTTATGTATATATCATCAGCAATGAAAAATATTTTGTTATAAGTAGATCTGTAATTCATGTTATATTTTATGTTTTGACTTGTTTTTAGAATTTTTATTTAATTTTGAAAGAAACCTAGATCTTAAGCCCTTATGAAACTTGCGTTAATTTTGGGACACCTTTTACTTATACGATAAATATAAAACAATGCAAAAACATGTGATTTAAGTATTCTGTACTTCAATTTTACTGAAAATCAGCAGTCTCAAGTTTTCAGTGAAAGCGTAAGCCTGGCCTACCTGTATAAAGTCAAAGCCTAACTAATTAAATGTTAATGAAAAAATATTTATTTACTATATTTTTATCGTAAAGATTCCTATAAAACCCAAATACACGAGAGCAGTCCATATTAGGTAGCGCCATCTGTGGTGTAATAATACATTAGTGATAAATGTAATTCTACAGGCTGTCCTAGAGGGGCAAATCAAATCCAACTTCAATGGAGGTAGCTTGACATAATCTGACCTAGTTAATATACCTCTAAAAATATGTTAAAAAATTGTACAAAAAATATTATTAAAAATGGTATGGAATTTTCTTAAGTTTACGAATTTATTTGCTACTTACTAACTAATAATAATTGCAAGCGATTGTTTGGTCCGACTGTAAAAAACGTTTTTTTTTGTATGTAATAAAATATTTTAAATATTTTAGGGGTAGGTCAGAGGTAACTATAGCTGTTTGATTCACCCATTCTGGGTCACCTGTTAACTCCTTAATAATATACCATAGTGTTTTGACGCTGTTATTTTAGGGGGTGGGTATGTAAAAGGTTTCATCGCCATTGCAACTTTTTAATCTCTACTTAGGCTGAGTTAACTTACTTACTTTAACCGTAAGGCTATGCGCGCACGGGTGACTTTTTGTTACTACAGTGACAGTATATCTTTCTCATTTACACTTGTAAGAGAAAAAGAGAGAACGTTGTACTTATTCTTATCTATGGAAAAACAACTGTGACGGTGATTAAAGTCACCTAGACTTACCAGTGATTTTTGTATGGAGTTTGACAGATTTTTGACGTTTGTTAAAGTTAAAGTAAGATGGTTTAATAACTCGGCATTAATATAAAATTCTCATGTCACAGTATTTGTAACAAAATCCTCTAAAACGTTTCCGATTCCTCCGAACTGATTCTTATGAAATTTTGTGTTTACAATTAGTAGATCAGAAAATAGGACGTAATAAACTTCATTTTTAATACTCCTACCTGCAAAAAAAATGTTAGCTGGGTCAGCTAGTAATTAATAAGAATCTTGTTACAAATAAGTACCTACTAAATTTTTGGGTAAGTAATTTAACAAATACAACAATAAGGTTTTATTTATTAAGCTTAATTATTTTTAAATTATCTTGGACATTTACATATTTTAATACTTGTTTTTGTATAAGCTTTGTTTATACGAAGCACTTGTGTAGTTGTGATAGGTTCGATTTTTCTGCAAAATAATTTGTGGCTGTACGCTTAACTGTACTACGTTAATAGGTATGTAACTTAAAGTAATGTTAACTAAAATTTTAAATACATAAGGTTGTACAAGTTTTTTAATTATCTAATAAAATCTCAACATCCGTACTTAATTATTTTTGAAATCAACTGCAGGATTTCGAAGTGTGCTTAGTAACTAAAACCTCAAATAATATTTTTTTACATTAAGAAAATTAATAAAATTAAAATGATATTAAGAACAAGTTTTAGTTATTGGCATTCTCCAAAGTACCACTATACTCGTAGGTAATTTACCTAGGTAATTAATTGTTTTTAATATTGTAAGTAATAAGTAACTATTTAATAAAATATTTAACTGAACTAAAATTAGAAATATTTAATGTGTCGTAGTAAGATACTTAAAAATGTCGTAAAAACAATATCAGATCAAGAGCTAAGCTAAGATAGTTATTAGTTAAGTGTAGACAGCATGCAAACAATATGGAAAACTGCTTCAGCTATGCGAGATAAGCTTTTTTTGTCGCGGAGGAAATTATTTGCGCACCGTCACCACTGCCAAGGGATACGGTGGTGTGTGGGACTCCCGGCGCCTTGAAAAGGGCGATGCTCCGTCCTGAAAAGGACGGGGTATACCCACTAAAACCTCCGCGGCGTTCCGTCATCGCCCGAGTGGGGGTGTCGCGAGAATCCGGCCGTAGCCTTATGCCCGTTTTCACCATCAATCCCTAACTTGTAAGTGACCCCTATGGTAAAATTTAACAGGAATTTTGTTTTCAAAGGGGTCACTTAAAAATTAGGGATTGATGGTGAAAACAGGCATTAGACTTCAGCGACACATGCGAGATAACCTAAATTAACTTAGCTTAGCTCTTGGTCTGCTAGTTGCATTAGCCCCCACTGATTGGTAGGATAGGTATGTATTTGAAAATACATTTACTTTTTATTTACAGTGTAAACTCTATAAAAATGACATAAGGGTCATAATCTATGATCTGAGGTCATAACATTTTTCAACATTATACAGGGTGACTGAAACTGAACCCGCCATAGCTAATACGCGTATAGAGGAGGTCATTTGCTAATTATTGAACCCTACTTTCTATGACTAAAGTTTTATAGTTTAGGAGATATGACAATTTTTATACTTGTTTCAGATTTTCCCGAAATTTGACCTAAAAACTGCTAAAATTTTTTTTCTCGCATGATTTTAACCGATTTTTTTATTTGATACTAATATCGAATAAACCTTTAGTCAAATAAAATAAATTTCAGATCTAGATAATGATTCAATAACTAGTTACGAGCCGCCAAAGTTCAACAAAAGTAAAAACCACGATAAAAAATTCAAATTCTATTTCAATTTAAGAAAAAACCAATGGTGATAATGGATTGCCAATGATCTTAAAAATATCTCTACCTTCTCTTCTTTCCAATGACATATCACACGTAGTAATTAGATATTGAAATTTATTAAAAATTCAAAGTTTATGGAAGAAAATGGAGTAATTTACGAAAATTATCCATACAAAGTTTCTTCAAACAACTCATATTTTCTGCTATACTCCTTTTCATAACTATTTTCGTGTTTTTTTTTAAAATGAATTTAAAAATAATAATCACATTATAAAGAAAAAAAAAATTAAAAAAATTCAAAATCAACTTTGTATGGATAATTTTTGTATTATTACTCCATTTTCTTCCATAAACTTTGAATTTTTGATAAATTTCAATATCCAATTACAACGTGTGATATATCATTGGAAAGAAGAGAAGCTGGAGATATTTTTAAGATTATTGGCAATCCATTATCACCATTAATTTTTGTTTCAATCGAATTTGAAGTAGAATTTTTTATCGTGGTTTGTACTTTTGTTGAACTTTGGCGGCTCGTAACTAGCTATTCAATCATTATCTGGATCAGAAATTTATTTTATTTGAATAAAGACATATTCGATATTAATATCAAATAAAAAAAACTGTTGAAATCACGCGAGAAAAAAAATTGAAGCAGTTTTTAGGTCAAATTTCGGAAAAATCTGAAAAAAGTATAAAAATTGACATATCTCCTAAACTATAAAATTTTAGCCATAGAAAGTAAGGTTCAATAATTAGCAAATGACCTCCTCTATACGCCTATTAGCTATGGCGGGTTCAGTTCCAGTCACCCTGTATAAGGAGTTAAGAGAGAGAAGAGAAGGAGGAACGTTAAATAAGGAGGCACGGTAGAGCACCGTGGTAGAGCGGATAGAAAGATATTTCCACGCCTTTGTATAACGTTTACAAAACTTCTAGCTGTTATTGTATTGGATAAAATATTTTTTTTCCAGCTTAAATGTTTATTGGGAAATAAGTAAAATCGACGTTTTAGAGAGTGTGGCGTTACATCGAATGACGTTGTAAAGAGTTTACGTATTTATTTTATTTGAAGTCTACTGAGAGTTTCCTGAAGACTGGATTGGATATTGTGGTGGAGGCAGGCCGGTAGTTTGGGTTCGTCTGTGGTTCCTCCTCGTGGTCGTCCGCGTGTTCCTTGAGGAACTGCTCGTACTCCCGTCGGTCCTGGGCGTCCGTCAGCCACTTCCAGCCCACCAGGGTGGCTATCCCTATCAGGATGATGGATCCTAGGCATATCCCGCCGTATACTGAAATCGAAAGGAATAAATTAATGTCAACAAGCATTAAGCACTAACAACTAACATTATGGGCGGGGCATATAGCTCGTAGAGACGATGGCCGTTGGGGCAGGAAAGTTCTCCACGGGCTGGAAGACGTAGCGTGGGCAGGCCTCCTACTAGGTGGACCGACGATCTGGTAAAGGTCGCGGGAAGAGCCTGGATGCGGGCAGCGCAGGACCGTTCATTATGGAAAACCTTGGGGAAGGCCTTTGTCCAGCAGTGGACGTCATTTGGCTGAAACGAACGGACGAACTAACATTAAAACTGCATGCAGGAAGATTTATGAATGCTACTGACAACGCCACCTTGTAGCAGAGTTGGGCTGATACTCTGTAGGTACATATGTTAGCGACACGACAAGAAGAAGAAGCAATAAGCAAAACGATATCATCGTGGCCTTATAAAAGAGGCTTTAGAATGAAGCAATTTGCATGTTTTTTATAAGATAAAAAGTTCAAAATAATACTAACAGTAGTAACTCTCCAAGCAATTCTTATAGGTTTGTACCGCCAGTTCAATGCCATACACACTGTCATCGTATCTATACATATACCGGGTGTAGCACCCGACTTCCACTCTCAGGTCTGGGCAAATATTCCACGAAGAATCCTCCGTAGAATTAAGGAATTCTACGCGCGTGATTTTGGTACCATTGTGGCACATTGGACAGGTTTCCTCGGAGAAGGTGCACTTGGCGCAGGCTTCTAGCATGATGCATTGGGGGTTGTGGCAGTCGGGACAAGGCAGTATCTCGCAGTGACGGTCCAGGTTCTCCCGGGCGTCCCAAGCAGCAGTGCGATCACACACGCACTCCCCGCACCGGCATTCGCCTCTCCCATTGCATAGCTGAAAAAGCATTTAGGAATCACTAGCTTGTAATCGATTAAGGCTGAGTTGCACCATCTTATTTTAACTTTGACAACGTCAAAAATCTGTCAAACTCCATACGAAAAGCACCGGTTATTGGTACGTTGGTGGTGGTGCAACTCAGCCTAAATGTCATAAGTGTCACAAACTAACCCGTTGTCCTAGGTGAGCAACGGGACGCGAAATACGACCAATACTTCATATAATATGACACATGTTATGACATGATACACACGTCTGCGAAGGCCAGTAAAGTTTGACAACACTGAGGTGTCCCAGACGTTTCACATTCACAGGAGGGCGCTACTATCAAAGTGGGTAAATAATTTAGACTTGACGTTTCAAAATCATTGCACTTTATTATTAAAACTACTTGATATTTTTACATCGGGTCGTCGCGTTGCCGCGTTTATCTTTCTCCCACGACAACGGGTTAGTGAGCAATATCTCAAGAAGGACAGCATGTCCAGCCCCCCTAGACAAGTGCCAAAACGTCACAGTTGTAATGTCGAAACACGGTCGAAAGGCTGTTTTTTTTTGTATGAATTATTTATTTATTTATTTCTTTATTAATAACTTTATTGCACACATAATAAACAGCGGTACAACAGGCGAGCTTAATGCCATATGGCATTATCTTCCAGCTAACCAGAATATTAGACAAAACAGAGAATTAATTATATCGCTTTGTGAACGGATTCTATTTTCGAATCAAAAAGTGCCACATAATTATCTTTGCTTGTTACTTACTTCTCCGCTTGATCCGATGCATCGTTTGTTGAAGCTAGGACACTGGCAGGCGTCACCATTCCACTCCTTGGAGCAAACGCATTTTTCTTCTATGCACTTCCCGTGCCCGTTGCATACTTCGTCGTTGTGTCTCGGGCAATTGTCGCTGTTGAATTGGCAATACTTTCCCACGTAGCTATGAAAAAAAAAAGAAACAGATTCTAAATAGGTAGGTGAAAATTTTCATGTGAATTAAAATTATTTTATTTTCAATTCGGTCTGTAAGTGGCGCGTGTATACGGCTAGAAGTACCTGGCGCTGAGACGTCACATCCACGCTCTGGTATGTGGTATGGAACGGGCCGAAATCGGGAGAGGTGTGAGGTTAGTGCGAGGGAGAGTCGCATTCCAGCGAGGTGCGCAGTTCAGTCGACAGGGTTGTATATCGATGCTAAAACACTTACGGCGAGTCACTGATGCAAATGCAAGATCCGCAAATGCAGGATCCGTGGCCGCTGCACAGTTCCTTGTCGCCCTTGGCGATGCAGGTGGAGTTGTCGTCGGCGCCCGGGTTCTTCGGCTCACCGGGCAGGCTGTTCGTCAGGCAAGCGCACTTCTCACCATATCTGCAATGAATACATATTCTACATTACATCTTTTAATCTTAAATTAAATAAGTTGTATTATAAACTGACTAATGTCCACGTTTTCACGGTGACATAATTCTGTCTGTATAATACGACTTAGTGACTTAGTTTTTTTATGCAAGACAAGGCAGGTATTTGACCGTAATCGCTCTCTCTCTCTTAAAAATGTTTCAAGAGTATATTTTCAAATTCTACTTACTTTACTAAGTATCTACTTACTCTAGTAGTAACAGAGAGAGATAGAGAGAAAGAGAGATAGAGCGATAATTAATTTTATATGGTTCTGTACTTCTTAGTAGAAAAGGCAATATTTGGAATCACTGTAAACTAATATGTAGTTAAAATGTGTTAATTATGTGTGTGCTGTGAATTATGCTACTAAAGGAAAATACTCTACAGTGTAACACTGATTTTATGTACTTTTATTAAAAGGGGATTCTGATGAACAGACGAGTTCACGGGGATCCCTTGGGGGATCGGGTTAGGGGATCCTAGTGGACGAAAGGAAATAATCGATAATTCCTACACATAAGCTTTACCGAAGAGGTTCATTAATGCAACCTCTTGTCAAACTTACCTATGCTCATCACATTTGCACACTCCGCATGTAAATGTTCCTGCATTGTTACATAGCGGTGATTGAACCACAGCATTTGGACAGTCGCAGTCTTTTATTAAATTTACTTTAAGAGTTAACTTCTCGTTAATTCCTTCGATTATTATGTCAATTTCAGTTTCGTTTTTTGTTTTTTCTTCAAAATAGTTTAAAGCTGTTATAGTACCAATGAATTGTTTCTCTTCCACCTTCTTTACATTACAATTTAAGGTATTTACTTTAGTCGTAGCACAATCCGGATGGAATGTAATATGGAAGTCATCATTATGTTCAGAAGGTATATTTACTTTTAATTTTATGGTTCGAGTTATTTCCTGAAATAGAGTGTAAATTTTAATGGCGAACTACGAGTACTTATATTAATATAGAAACATTTTGACTATGTTAAACTTACTTCATAAATGTCGGTAAGAACAGTTGTTATCTTTTTGCCATCATCGATTGTAACATATTTTGATCCACTTATGGCTTCACTGAGATGACTGTAAATATTATCTACATTCTTATGTACAGCAAAAATAATAGTGATTTGTTGATCTGATGCTAATTTTCTAATGATGCTCACGGAAGGGTAATCCATGTTTAATTCGTTTGTATAAACACCATCTTTCATGTAACATTGGCCATCGTAGGGTTTGTAAATGCCTGCTGAAATTCCATCACCAGCTTGGTGAAAAGGTCCATCAGTGAAAAGCAGGATCAGTTTTCTGGACTCAGTCCTCCACTTGATGAGATCTGTGCAGGTGATGACCTGTGCCAGTGCATCCAAACCTCCTTCTGGTTCGTCAAAGTTGTATCCTTGTAAAGGCTTGTGAACCGTGTCCTTGAACTGGGTCGAGTTGTCTGTTAAACTCAAATGATTTCTAAAGGAGTATGTGTTTGTGCTATTCAATATGCTGCAACAGAATAAATTCAAATTAAATGATTTATTTGCTAGAATACATAAATTACATGCTCGTTTTACAAAGCAGATCTTATGGCTAATATGATTCCTATGTATTCAACCTGCAAGTAGACGTACAAATATTTTATCACTCAGATTATTATTTAACATACAATGTTACAAATCAAATTAATGTATTAATATTTCAGTTAATAAATTTACAATGTCAAAAAAAAATGTAATAAAGTATGAGTTATTGTTATTTTTATGATTAAACTTGATCGGAATAAGAAGCATCATCGGCAATACAGCACTTCTTAAGACATCCTAATAATGCCATAGTGTTTGGTTTACATTTCAGGAAATTTTTATGTTTGTATACTGTATTAAGCCTTACTGTAGTATGCGTTTTTCCGTTTTTCCATTACGCCTATAAAGGAAAATCTAACTTACTCGGTAAAAGGTATCGCGTTTTTATCGACGAAGGTCCCCATTCCTAACTTGATATTGGTTGTTAACTCCTGCATAGTGGCAAATATGTTCAAGGCCTGTTCTTCAATCTTATCTTTAATTCCTGCCATCGTGGACGATGCATCCAGTAAGAAGTAAAGGTCGACTGGGTAGTTCGATGCTGGTTTGTAAGAAAAACTGAACTCCTGCGGCTGACCTGCGCGCAAATCCAGTGTGACCTCTTGGGGCTTAATCTGGATTACTTTGCCTATGTCAGAGCTGAAGTCTACGTTTTTGATGGGGTCTGTGGAGATTGTGTTATTTGGATTTTGTACTGCTCCGAGGCACCAGTTCTCAGAGACCAATCTGGACGATTGGCATCGCGCGCCGTCGAACTGTGTCTGGAATAAGTCAATCAAGGCGTGGTATTTTTATATCTGTATGTATATCTAACCAATTTATTATCGTCTTCTACGTTTACATTTTTTTCTTAATTAGCTTTACCGGTATTACGAGTAGGTATACCTACGCGCCAACCATGCATTCTTCTTGCAGTTTCAGAATTTTAAATCCGTTAGAGCGCTTTCACAGCGCGGCAGTGGAGTTTTTATAATGTAAAGGCATGCATCCGCTGTCACATAGTATGAAATTTTCGGCAGCGCGGCTGTCACACCTTTGTCGCGCTGCTAGATCGCCTAAATGTGAAAGTGCTCTTATTCCAGAAGTTAGTAGGTATTATTTCTGTTGTTTTCCGGGACAGTGGATAAGGTAAAAAATATTAGTAACCTACTTTTGTTTTAATCCAAATTAGCAAATAATGTTAGTAATAACAATGTGATGAAAATTAAGGAAAACTACATTTTCAAGGACATTAAAACCCCTAGTTTTAAATTTACACCTGGTCATTAGAGTTTGTGCAATGTAATTAACCTGTTTATTTCAGATAAACTCCGTGGCGTATTGTTTACTTGTTATATACTGTAACTTATTTGCAACGAAAATTTTGATACTATAGGAACTCACCAAAGCACACCATACGCAGACACTAGGATCCTTGATGCAGTCGTTGCAATCATCAGTGTGGCTCGCACATGTGTCTGCCTCACTCCCTTGGCCCATGACCCTGGCCAGCAGTACCAGAACATAGAATACAACCACACCCATGGCTTCTGGGTCTTCTGATTACCAACTAAAATTAAATATGATTCCAACACCGGAAAATCAAACAGGAAAAGTATTTGATTTAAGGCAAAGGACTATTTGTAAATTGTCAGGCTCGGGATGGATTAAAAAATAGAGATTTTAAGCATCTGGTGTGTTAGAATGTATATGAATCCTAACGATGATTTGTTATGTGAGTCCAGACCAATTTTTCTGTTTTGGGTAGAGCGTTAGTAAATTCAGGACTTATTGTTTTTTTCCATGAAAATTTATAAAGGCCCTAATACTTCGTGTTGCCATTAGGTGATGGGGAATCATTTACCTACATAATGTCTTTTTTTGTTTTGGTTTAGCCTTTAACTTTTCCAGCTAGTTTCATAGTCAAGATGATTCATTCCGGTTTATTTTAATTATTAAATTTATTTTAATTCATTAATTAATTAAATATATAATAAATAAACATAGGAATAGTAATATAGGTTTCATAGTCTTAAAATAAATTCCGAACCTAAAGGGCCAGGTATTTGTAACTAGAAAATTACTTATTAATATGTTCTAAAACATCATTTTTATGAGCTACTAGCTGACCCGGCGAACTTCGTACCGCCTTAGCGTAGAGATTTTCTTTATATTTTTTTCCGTAAAAACCTTGTACAGAGTATTAGAAAACTACAAAAAAAAATCAGCCATATCGGTCAAGCCGTTTTCATGTTATGTCGTGACAATGGAAAACGGGTTTCATTTTTATATATATAGATTTATGATAAATGCCACAAGGCATTAAGTTCGCCTTTTGTACTGCAACTATTTTTTTGTGCAATCAAGTTTTAATAATAATTAATTAATTAAAAGTACACAATGTCAAACTTGCCCTTAACCTATCGAGCTAAATATTGAAATAACATCCTCATTCAAAATGATTAACAAAGCGAGCACCATAACGGTCGTTTGAGTTAGTTTAATTATTAAAGAGTTATCATGAAAGTGTTAGTTGCAATAGTTTTCTTCATTTTGTATGTAAAACCATCATTTTGTGGTATAAGTTGTAGTAATTTTGCAACATGTGGAGAATGTATAGCCTATGGCGGTGATAAGTGCGTCTGGTGTTCTGAAGTACGTATCTAAATATATAACTCAAAGGTGACTGACTGACTGATTGACTGACTGACACAGTGATCTATCAACGCACAGCCCAAACCACTGGACGGATCGGGCTGAAATTTGGCATTCAGGTAGATGTTATGACGTAGGCATCCGCTAAGAAAGGATTTTACGAAACTCCATCCTAAGGGGGTAAAACGGGATCCAACATGATGACGATTGTAATTCGTTTCAATTTGTTGGGATAGCCCCGATATAAAAAATAATACCTACAAAATTATAATGCTCTTGATCTCACAATCCATCAGGCAGCTACTTTTTTAATTTAGAAAATAATTAAATCATTTTAACCTTTTCGCAGCCAAATATAACCACTAGCAGATGCCAGTCAGAGGCTTTGTCTAAGAAATCATGGTGCAAGAAAGAATTCTTGTACAACCCAGTGATGTATACAGAAAAAAATATCACAAGTGAAAAATTTCGTTTAGGAAACGAAAAATTAAAAAGTATTCAGTTGAGACCTCAAAAATTACATTTGAAAATTCGCCCTGGAGCCACCTACAACTTTGTTATGGATTACAAGCCTGCCAAACATTTTCCACTAGATGTATATTATTTGATGGACTCTTCCTATACTATGAGAGACACGGTGAAATCATTAAAAACAAAAGCCAAGTCTGTGTTCGAATTGCTTACTAAATTCACCAACAACGTAAAATTTGGTCTTGGAACTTTTATTGAAAAACCAGCCCTGCCTTTTGTTGAGTATGTTTTTTCATAGTACCTACCTATTTACGCATTTTTTTAAAGTAAACATACTCGTAACACATTTCAAGATTGTTCTTTTTTGCAGACCAAATTTGCATTACGCTTATTCCTATCGACATCACCTGAATTTCACTTCAAATATGACGGAGTTTGTTGAGGCCATGAAGGAGATAAAAACCGGTGGAAACTTCGATGACCAAGAAGCTGGCCTCGACGCGCTTATGCAAGTGATGGCTTGTGATGATGAACTGGAATGGAGGTCTGATGCGAAAAGGATTATTATCCTGTGCACCGACGCGGCCTACCACAGCGCCGGAGACGGCAAAATGGTCGGCGCCGAGATACCTAATGACATGAAGTGCCACCTAAACGAATCCAAGTTCTATGATCACAGCCTCATACAAGACTATCCATCAGTCAGTCAAATCAATAAGATGTCTTCCGATGGGAATTTTATAATCATCTTTGCAGCAAATAAAATAGTTGAATATGACTACACAGCTCTGGCAGAGCAAATAACAGGTGCTAAATATGTCGAGCTGACATCAGACATTTACGAAATTATAAAGACGGCTTATCTGGTAAGTTTTAAGAAAAATTGCTTTACTTGGGTTGCGCTATCTTACTTTTAGGCCCTTTTCACATGTCCCGGTTGCCGGCTAACCGGCGCCGGGTACCCGGTGGTGAAGTGTATGGGCATGCCTGTACGCAGCTTTCACATGTACTGGCGTAATTAATCCGACATGCCCATACACTTCACCACCGGGTACCCGGCGCCAGTTAGCCGGCAACCGGGACATGTGAAAAGGGCCTTAGGCTGAGTTGCACCATCTTACTTTAACTTTGACAAACGTCAAAAATCTGTCAAACTTCATTCAAAAACCACCGGTTATCGTTATAGTTACCGTTAAAGTTTGGTGGTGCAACTCAGCCTAACTGTAACAGCGTCAAACTCCATACAAACACCGGTAAAGCTAAAGTTAAGGTAATGCAAATGATTCAAACCATCTACGAAAAAGAGTGTTTACTGAAAGTGGTAATGCTGGCAGTACAGTAGGTACAAGCACATACGGCTGTCTCGCGAGACATTCGGGCGAGGCTGGGCGAGAGCTCTCGGACTACATTTGACGAGAGTCTACAGCTGGTATTAATGTACGATTATGGTTTTTCTACAGTCGACAGCACATCAGCTTATAGATACATTTTTGTTGCAAAATAGCCTGGATTTTAAACGAGATAAGATGACACTGTGTTTAGCTTGTTGTGCTGTCGTCCGTACTCTAACTCAGCCTGTGTGAATTACAGAAATCAGTAAGGCACCTCACGATAAAATATCAGTGGCCACCGTACGTACAGTTGAAGTTGGACCCAGATTGTACTGTTGTTGACGAAAGATGCAAAATGGCACACGAAGAAGCTGTTTCTATGAAAGCTGAAATAAAAGTGACTTCTTGTCCAGAAAACACTACCGTAGATCTGGAAGTAGGTCCCACAGTCGGCGGGCTGGCAGACAAATTGATGATCAAACTCGAAATCGACTGTCAATGTGAATGCGAAAGAGATGAGAAAGCTGTCCAAAATTCATCTATGTGTAGCAATGCTGGCAGTTATCAGTGCGGTATCTGCAACTGCAATAGCGACCGGTTAGTAGTTGACAATCATCAAATGAAGGGTACAGACAAAGATAGGGAATCTCCTTTAAGAATATTGTGAAAAACCTTCATAATTTAACCCTTTTCGCTACAAAATACTACTTACCTATTGAATTAATCGTATGAGAAAAATCTTACCTAATAACCTAAATCTAAGGTTTATTTCCCAGGACATTCCCGTTCTTTGCCCGTATTCACAAACATTACTATGAGGTCTCACAGTGAGCGTGAACGCACAGGGTGAAACACGACCCAATAACAGAGCTTTATTCAACGCTGTTCGTTTGATTTATTGCTTCACAAGCAAGCATCGTTTGTGAATACGGGCGCTCTTACTTTCAAATTGATTAGCTGAATAGTCACTTGTTAATAAATATTTTTGGATTAATAGGTTGACGGGTAATAATAACGTCCCGATCGAGCAAACCGAGGCTAATATTTATAAAATAATAATTATTGATTATGATTTAGATAACTGTGTTTATGTTAAAACCAATTAATTATTCCGTTTGTTCACAGAGGTGGTAATATTTGTCAATGTGATAAAACTGCAACGAGTACAACAGACTTGGAAATAGACAAGTGTAAACATGAAAATGGTACAAGGTTCTGTAGTGGGAGGGGGTCATGCGAGTAAGTGGTCATTTAATATTTTATTTGTCCATGTTGGTACAAAATATCAGTATCTTTTTTCTCTAGCCCTTTTTCCCATTATTTGGGGTGGGTTCTCGTTGTTCTGAGGCGCCAGGACAGCTTGTCTTGGGTTGTCGAAATACTTGTCTTACAAATAAGTATGAGTTTAATTCCTAGGTTTAGTTGTATCTTTATAACCTGTACCTCTAGTAGGAAAAACTTTCGAGTTCGTTTCGTTGCGTATTCAAAGTGTCATCGAAAAATTTTGTATGAAAAATTAAACAGCGCCCCCTATATTATAGCCGCCCTAGGGGGCGCTGTTTAATTTTTCATACAAAATTTTTCGATGACACTTTGAATACGCAACGAAACGAACTCGAAAGTTTTTCCTACTAGAGGTACTATATTCATCTTCTTATCGTGTCGACAACAAACCTACACAGTGTCAGCCCAAAACTCCGCCACAAGAGTGGCGTTGTCAGAGGCATTCATTAAATTCTTCTGCGTGCAGTTGCTCAGGCACTCAGGGCACGACATCTTGTGCTTCCTCGACTGGGGAACATAACCTGTATTATTCGATGCAGATGCGGGAAATGTAAGTGCAGCGTTGGCTTCTCCGGTGACTTCTGCGAGTTCGACGACAACTCCTGCAAGAGACAGGACGGCAAGCTGTGCTCGGACAACGGCCGGTGCACCCACGGCGCCTGCGAATGCGACGAGGACTGGGGAGGCGAGGACTGTAGCTGCTTCAACCGTAACTCTAACTGCTTCGCACCGTACTCTAAGGAGGTAGTTACATCGTTCATTCAGCCGAATGACGTTCACTGCAGGACAAAGGCCTCCCCCAAGGATTTCCACTAAGACTGGTCCTGCGCCGCCTGCGTCCATGTACCTCTCGCGACCTTCGCCAGATCGTCGGTCCACCTAGTGGGAGGCCTGTCCACACTATGTCTTCGAGAACTTTTGTGCCCCAGCGGCTATCAGTTCTGCGAGCTATG